GCAGGTTTGATCCAGGAGCTGAAGCTGTATCACGTCTGCTTTCGTGCATATTTCAGGATGTCAGTGAGGCAGTTTGAGCTTTTATTGGCAGAGCTGCGAAATCATCTGAGGAGGCAGAGAAATCCTTTCAGATTGACCCGAAGCAGCATCTAGCTACGTGTCTGAGGTAAATAGTATTATTATTTTCATATCATTGTGTATTTAATACCCGTGCAGCTTCTCAGCTATGAGCTCATATGTTGCCAACATACATCTAATTGGTCAGATCTATTTATTCCCATAAAAATCTGAAAAGCTTGGTTTTGGGGAGTCCAAAGAATATTTTTTACGCACATAACATTTGGATTGATATCTGGGCAAAAACCTCCTCTTCTGTCCACTAGTCATTGATAATGAATGCAGATATTATAAAACTATGCTGTTGTCAGACAGTAGCCAGTGCTTCTGACACTGGATTTTGGAAAATACAATGGTTTTACTCACCCTAAGAACAGTTTATATGTTTATATGGATGCAATGAATGTCTGCTTAACCATGACTGGTCATAGACTGTACTAAACTCTTATCTCATATTTGCACAGTTGTTTGTAAACACCATCTTACAGAGATTACATAGAAATTAGCATGCTGTCATTTGTATACTCAAATTTTAGGCATTTTAGTATTAGCGCAAATTGCTATTCTTTATTAACCGATAAGTGAAACTACTGCTAAAAATCGTAAATCAAGAATTACAAAATGAATACGAGACTTTCTAAAGATGTAAAAACAGGTGGCAGGTGCACAGAGGAAGTAATTAATGATGGACATTGTAGGCAGCAACCCTTATTCCTGACATTCTTGATAAAAAATAAAAATAATCATATATTTGTAACCCAGCATGCACTGCCTTTGTTTATCTAACAGAAGTAGGGGTAATACCATTAGCTGTGAAAGGAATGGCTTTAGTGTAGAATCAGCTGTTATCTTCAACTTCCATATAAGGTGAGGAAGACGCAAAGCCTGTTGTGCTTACCGGGAATTTTGACAGGACAACAAACCTTGTGAATGGTGAAATTTTATTCTAGTCGCTCTACAGAGAGAGAGAGAGAGAGAAAGAAAGAAAGAGAGAGATAAACAGTGCCACTGTACAGAAGAGCTCTTGTGAAATTCACACAAAAAATATTGTTTTTACTCTTTATCATTTATAATTCTCCATGATGATGTATTTCAGTATGAATTTACAAGCGATGTATACAGGTGTCATTTCTAAATATATTCAAAATAGTTCCCTAAAAGTCTTTGAGGAAGTATGTTTTTTTTTTCTTTAAAAAAAAATGAAAGAAAAGAAAGAAAAGCTATATTCTTACAGCAAACCATAAAGAAAGAGGTCTTGTATCTTTGGAGGGATAGCAGACTCAAAGTTGAGGGTTGCTTTTTTTTTCTTCTTCTTCTTCTATCTTCATTACAGTTGAAGTCCTGACTACACATGAAGGAGAGGGAAGAGAGAAGCAGAGCTGGTGATACAGTAATTCTCACCTGCCATTGGAGGAAGAGCACAGATGTCCCACCAAAATAAGCCCAGCCCTGACCCGTGACCAACCACTCTACTAGCCAAAAACATGGCCTGATAATGACCAGCCAGCCAATGAGAAAGTTGCACTGGGGTCAGGTCTTTAACCTCCCCCCCGAAACAGCAGCAGCATCTTCATTGTGTTAAACACAGATATATTTTTTTTCCTCTCAAATATGTATATACTCATCACACCTGGTTACAACGCATTAGTGATCATAACATCATAACAAAAATATCAAACGAAGAAAAGAAACAAAACATTAAAGTTGTTACATCTGGGGTTGCATGCCATCACCTCATTAGTTATCATTAAATGTAATTAAAATACATTTTTGCCATTAAAAAATAGCAGGGTTGTCATCACAAGGGTGTGTCTGAGAGTGTGTGTGTGCGTGTGTGTTTCTTTGTGTATGTTTGAACAGAAAACATCATCAGTTTACATGACAGTTCTGTAAAAGTAGAACAAACGAACAAATTGCGATGAGTTCATAAAACGCAAGGGTGCCATTTGATATTTTTCTTTTTTTTTTTTACATGTGCATATTGTTCACTTGTCAGCTCACACAAGCAGCATGTGGAGATAAATATGATAGTAATAAATATGTAGATAAGATGCAAAAAAAAAAAAAAAAGAGAGAGAGAAAAGGACAAATCTTGCTCTTCAGTCAACACTGGGTAAGCTGATTGGGAAGCTAGGGGGAGATTCACTGCGGTATTCCAAGAGTACAAAAAGGGCGATATGACAGTGGTTAAAAATGGAGCTTCAATCGAAACACAGTGGCTAATGCAGTCAACTGCCATTCAAAGTCATGGAGAGGAGGAACTATAAGGGTAGCGTTTCAGATTTTGGATGTTTAAGAAACATCCTTCGTTCTGTGAAGGGTGCTCAGCTTAGTGTGAAGTGGAGCTGCATACAGCACATCCACACACTGGGAAAACAATCTAAGCCCCCCTCTCACCCGACCCCTACCGCTGTCCCTTCACTCCCTCCTTCGTTTCCTCTTCTATCTTTGCTTGGGTTGCATGAGCTCAGGCAGAGAGCTGAACTGGAAGACCTTGGACTGGTAAACATCAAAAAGAGAAAAGTTTGATTCTGCCTTATGGCCGCTTCTTCTTCGTCTTTTTTCCCCCTTCTTTTTTTTTCTCCTACAAAAAAAACGAAACAAAAAGAAATTCTGCGGCACATCCTACAGCTCTTGCTACTGTTATTAACGCCGCCCTAAAACGTACAGAATCATCCTGAGGTATATTATTTGAAGCAATTTTGGCTTTTGTAAATCTAATCAATCAAGCAAATCAGTCAGTTAAGGTCGTTACATGACTTTTTTCTTTAGACAGTACATTTTATAAAGCATGATGCTACCAAGGAAAAAAAAATCTATGCGTGTGCAAGTCTTTTTCAGTTTAGTGTTGTCAAAGAAAAAAAAAGGAATAAACGAAAAAAAAAATACACAATCAGATTAGGAATCAAATGTTCTGGTTAAAAACTTCAAGCTTACCCAAGTTCTGCCATGCGCGCACACACGACTTTTTCCATGCCAATGGATGGATACGTAATTGATGACCACATAACACCCATCCCATCCCGCATCCCTCCCAAACAACGCTTCGAAGGTAAACAAGGGATCCGTCCCAGTCTTCACATCCTCAAAAGCCCTGGTTTGTTGTAAATCAACAGTTCCACACAAAGTTAAATCATCGAAAATTCTGATCGTGATCCCAAGCTAAACTGTAGAGGCTGGACGAACCAACCAAAGTTCAATTTTTAGTACAGAAAATGATTCAGATTAGCTCTATAGACATCAAACACTCCAGCGATGTCATATTGATGGAGAAAGGGAAGAAGGAAAGATGAAAGAAGGAAGGAATCATTGGTGTTTTTCATAGCTAATACCCTGTTTCTCAGTGGCGTGGATAATAAAATAATAATTAATAAAAAAAACCTAACACATTATTGCCCACCAAAAACAAGGTGATGGTGGTGGAAACAGCTGCGCTTAACCTTTTTTTATTTTGTTTATCTCCTCTTTGCTCTCTTCCCTTCCACCTTTACCTCAATCATGACAGATTTACTAAGTAAGAGGGTCGAGGATCACCACGTGATGGTGCACACAGCCATCCACCGCATCCGGCAAGACGCAGCTACTTTCAGAAAAATGTAAAATATGTCTGAGAGTGTATATGTGTATTTTCTCTTCTCCGACACAGAATGAAATCAACACATGCAAAATAATCTGCTACTCATGAAGGTATTTTTCAGTAAGCTTTGTTGTTTTTTCTTTTAGGTTTTTTTTTTTTTCAAAAGCAAATGTGGGAGGTTTAAACTAATGGCTATTGTGCTACCAAATAAGCAAACACTAAAATCCTACATAGGGGGATCCGGATGCCAGAATCCCTAAGAAATCTTATAGTTCAAGAGAATAAAAGCAATACTTCGCAATTATTGTTTGTTTTTTTGTGCAGAGCCACAAATGAAATGCCCATCAAGTGCCTTAGGTTTCCCTGCTCGTCTGTCCTTTTCTATCAGTCATTTTGTCAGCATGCCTTTTATCTGTCAGTCTGTAAACAATATTCATTAAAAGCACCTGCATTGCTCTCAGCTTCTCATCACTGTCGCGTCCCTCAGCGTGGGCTGAACATACAAAGTCGTATTCTGAACAAGAACACGCTATCAAACAGCCACAAACTATTTGATGCTCCACTATGTGCCACTTAGCCAATCACTTCCTTCCTCACTCTCTCTCTCCTCTTCCACTGCCAGGTGTCTTAGTGCCCATATTTGTCAGCATAACAAGCAGCAGACCGTTGGACTAGCTCTCTGTGACGCCCCTGCCCTCCTGGGATGCCTCCATGTCTGGCCTGCCCATCTGGTCTTTCTGTCAAGCCTTTTCTCTTCAGCTGGTGAGCTCTAAGGTTGACAGTGAAGGTGGAAAGGAACACGGCAAGAAGGAAGGTGGACAGTGGCTAAAGAGCTTCCTCTCGCTTCCTTTAATTCCACTGTCATATAATTCCTCTCATCCTCCTCGCAAATTTGAATGCCAAATCAACTGATTCCTTTCTGAAAGCTATTGCAGGGAGCCCTGTGTTACTCTAACGTATACGGTACCATATTGGTTCCACTTATGGGGCTATGTCGTTTTCTACTCCTAAAAACCTAGGGATTAATGATTACCCTCCTCTTTACACAAGGATACCTTATGGCAGAGTGCTGGCCCTATAGCTGTCTCACTGGTACATGGGAGAGAATGGATAGAAATGGTGATATCAAGAGAGTAGTAGTAATACCGTCATACCCAAGTGGGCACAAGTTCGTTTGGATTACAATGTTGAAGAGAAGAAATCGTAGTGTGGCTATGGCATCCCTTATTGGATAACATAGTTGATAAATTATAATACAAACCCAGAGAGGAGTAAGAAGGAGAGAACATATTATTTCTTATATCAACTAAACATCTGACTCCAGACTGGGAATTTTTTTATACACCCGTCTATTGCTGAACTGGGCTGAGTTTAGGACGCCACGTGGGGCTGGGTATGCACTAGTCTTATTGGCTGAGTAAGGCATCGCATGCTCTTTATTGTACATGTCATTAGCTATCCGCCCATCCCGTGAGCAAAATGAAGTGGTGGATTTAACAGAAGAGCGGAGATTGTTCGCATCGTTGCGTGTATTGATGGGAGCCACTGAAAGCTGTTGGTAAATATCAGAGGAGCTACGCCCATGGACCAGTCTGCTGCTGGTGTCATCCCTCAGCGAATGACTGAGAAAAGGGTTTTCCGAGCCATGGGCCGGGTACAGGGACTTGCTCCTCTTGCTCTCCTCTAGGTTGTGGTTAAACAGCATGGACTTGGACCCAGTGCCAAAGAGTCTGCCAGAGTAGGGACGCATACCAAAGAGGTTCGCATAGTGCGAGTCAGACGTGGAGTCCAAGAAGCGATCCTTCTCCTTGAGGCTGACACTGCGTGCCGGTCGGCCCAGATCTACATCTTTGGGCTTTTCAAGCATGATGTTGTCAAAGGAGTGCTGACGACTCAGCCTCAAGCGATTTCTTTTTTGGACATGCGGCCCATCTGTCTGTGGCCAGTACAGACCAAACATTTCATCCGGTTGCTGCTGCTGTTGGTGATGCATGGTAGGGCTGACCAAAGGGTCTGCAAGGAGCTGGTCCTCACTAATGTCATACAGGTTGGCCGTGTGGAGGCACGCTTCACACCGATTATAAGGTGAACGTGTGCCCGAAGCTGAGGCAGAACCAGTAGAGGAGTACGGTCCTGCAGGTGGGTAGCTAGCAGTCACTTTGGATAAGCAGGAACGGCAGTGTGTCTGTTTGTAGCGATCAATGGATTCATGCGGGGACAGGTTTTTCTCTTTTAGGTTGTAGTGTTTTGAGTAGGTTGGATCTGGTAGAAGATCTGAGTCTGTATGATGCAAAGGCGAGGAGTTCAGATGAATAATGGGCTGCTCACACTTCCTATAGTTGTCACTGTGGTCGGAGTAGATTTCGGGGTATTCCAAATCGTCCGCAGCAAGACCGCGGCTCTCACGGTAGTGAATGGGGTCTGAGTGGAGGCTCAGCTCCCGGTCTGAGTCGATAGTGTAGATTTTCTCTCCTCCTCCTCCTCTCCCAGTTTGGTTGGTTCCGCCGCTGACCTGCTTAGTCTTTAAGTAGGACAGCTCCACCTCACTGCAATCCCTTGGGTATTTTGGCGTCACCGATCTTTTTTTTAAGTTGTCCTTGGGCTTCAGGTGCTTGTTGTTTTCTGGGTCTTTGTAGGAGGCTGCTCTACTAGAACAGTCTGAAATGTCAGAATGGGCTGCATCTTCAGGGAGGTACCGCTGCGTCTTCATTGACATTCGTGGGTCTGGCATCAGCATGTCAGGCATCGGCGAGGGCCCGGGTGGTACTGAGCGAACAGTGTCCACCGACTTCTTCCACAGTGCGCGTTGCGGTTTTGCATTAGTCTGGACTGCGTCAGCACTTACTGCTACCTCCACTGTGTTGGGATTGGCGTCATTCAGGGTCAAAGGATGCTGACCTCCCTGGAAGATATAGTTGTTAAGATGATCTTTGTGGCGGTTAGCGAGATAGGACTGCAGGTCGCCAGCATCCCCGTAGATCATATCTTTGGGGGCATAGCTTCGGTTGTCAGCATAGATGAAGTTCCCCTTCTCTGCCATCATGTCCATGATCATAGGACCAGCTGAGTGCATGAACTCTCTCTTGGGCGAGTTCATGCGGGAGCCACCCAGGTTAGACATGTTGGTCATCTGTTTGGCCGACTTAATGAGCTTCAGCATTTTGTCCTGGGGGCTAAAGTCCAGGTCTGTCTTTTTCTTCATGTCAATGTGAACTCCATGGATGCAACTCCAGATTCCCTGCATAGACATACATGGATGAAGAAGAAGGAAGGGAGAGGTGAAAAAGGAAGGAGAAATGAAAAGGGCGGGAATGAGATGCACAGAATCCAATGCAAAATTAGTCACCCACTGTAACCATGTAATTGTAATGCAAGTACAGTTTGAAAGCATATTCAGTTTATCTTTCTTTCATTATAAAACACATTTGTACACATTTGTATAAAACAAAATAAAAAATTAGAACCAAAACATTAAATATTACATTAAAAATTCTCTAATAGCATCTGTCAACAATAAGGGGACACACACATTCACAAATTCTTTAACTCTCAGCAGTCCAAATCAGTAAGATGTCGAAAATTCATTAATGAGGTATATATATGAGGTAATATCTCCAAAATCTCTCTTAGAAGTATTCACAATGTGACATAAGCCTCATGTAAGCAAAGCAGTAAACAACAAAAACTACCATCAGTTTAACTTTTGAACCTTAAGACAAACTATTGAATGAGCAAGTACTGAGTAAACAACAGCTGACAGTTAAATGTCTAAAACAGCCAAAGAGCTGTTTATAAAAGAACAAAAAACCCTTTCACTACTGTGACAACTTACTAGTTCACAAATTCATTCTCATTTCATTCATTTATGTCCCGAAATCAAACAACCTTTTGGTTCAATACACACTTTGCAAAGCTTATCGTGACAAAACGGGCAATTAAGGTTGTATTTTGTTTTAAATTACTATTAAGAATGGCTTTGAAGTAACAAGTGCATGAACATCACTCTTAACTTTCACATACACAGCTTTAAAATGAGAGCAAAGAAACGTGCTGCTTTTAGAGATACACGTCTCCATTGTATGTTCATATACACAATAAGGGACAATGCTGACCTTTTAACAAAATGAGAGAAAATAAATTGATTTGGCATGAGCTGCCATCATTTTACCCCCCAAAAAACATGTTGCAATTAGGATCTATTAGGATCTATCTTGTCGATATTCAGGTCCGCCTCGTGATCCCTCCCCCCGCGCTCCTGCCTCTCATCCTCCTTTGTATTGCTGTCCCTCCTTTTCCTTGCTTAACTCAGTTTCTTAGCTTATCAGCAGCTTTCTTTCCCTGCCCGTATGTGTGCATGTTTGCTCTTTTCTTTTATTCCGCTGACAGAAAATAGAACTAAGAGAGAGCTGTCTGACCCCAATAATACATTATTAGCCCACGAGTATAGCTGCAGTCTTCACTGCAGCTCACCGCCTTGGACACATCCGCTGTTAACCCTCTAAGCTGCTACTTTTTCACCAAAAGCACCTCTTTTGTCTGTTTGTTTTTCAAGCAGCTTAAACTAAAGATCACATGAAACAGCAAAAGCTGTTTTTAACCCTATGGTGCGCAGCTATAGAACAAACCACCATGCTAGTAGATGGCTGTAATGCAGAAGTATGTAAAGTGAGAGATGGACGACACAGTAACAGTAGTGATCATGAAGTTCATTCAAGTTGTGCTTCGGCTGAAAGCGGATGGCTGTTTTGCAATTAGGGTTAGTGAATCAGCAGCAATAATATATCAGAGTCAAAATCATCGCTTCAGTAGAGCGACTTTTTGGGGGATAAAATGATTTAACCAAAAATTTACTTTCCAGCTGACTCCTGCAGTGGAAATGCAAAAAGCTCCTCAACGATTCATAGAAAATTTCATTTTTATGCAACCTAGCTACTTACAAAAATGGGTGCTTACCCGACTGATGCTGAAAAGAAGACCCGGCTTGCCGGAGCAGACCCCAGTGAAGCAGTATCTAAGCCTCCAGTAGAAGAGATGCTCAGAGACAAAGGTAATGAGGGAAAGCCCCATGGCTGTGGCCAGCATGTAGAAGACCCCTGCCATGTTGTCAATATCCAGCTGACTGGACATCACCTCATTCTTCTCATTGTGGCAAATTCCTGTGAGCCACTGGGCTTCTAGCTCCTCCATTTCACCTGAAAGGAAAACAACAAATCCTTTACCAAATAGCTCAAAAACATAATGGCATACATGATTTCCATGTTTAGACAAGTCAGAAATTTACTGTTAACTTAAAAGCTGCTGCAAATTTATTTTAGGCCAACGGTGAGATCCTTGATACAGACAGAAACTGAGGATTGTACGGCGTGCAGTATTGCCATGCTCTGCAAACCGCTTTGCAACCCACTACTTCAACAACTGCACTTTCCTATTCTGTGTTGCACATAATCAATGTCATACTTGGTGTTCTGCGCTGGGACCTCACTGTAGCCCTCCCTCCTAATTTTCCTACAACAGAGTCACAGAGTACAGCCAAATATAAATTCTTGCAGTTAAAAATAATCATTTTCTTTTGACTAGTGGTCCTGAATGAACTCTAATTGAGCATAAAGAATGTAGATACTGCATTTCTACCCTAGAAAGGCAATCTATAAATTCAATGGCTGGTAGCACCTTTATATTCTGTCACTTGTCACTAGGCTTACCGTCTCCTCTATGTTGGCCAACAGGGCAAGGATATGTTTTTTAAATGTGGATAAAAAAAGGTACAAAGGAATAAAGACCTTATCTTTCCTCATTTCTTACTCTATGTTCCTTTCCCTCTGTTCCCCCTCTTTTTCCGGCTTCCTCTGTGACATTTGGCGCGTGGCTAATCCAATCGGTGTCATTCAGGGCCGGATAACTAAGGCTGCTAGTGGGAAAGACAAATATCATGGTGATGTTCAGCTAGATGTCTTTGGGGTGCAGACTCAATAAGACATCATTAGCCTGTTGGTACAACTGAAGAACATTTATCTCATGTCAGACTTGCAAATACATGACTAGACGTAGCCATGCTACCTTTTAAATGAAATTATGGCATGCCGAGAACTGGCTTCAAAAGCAAATTAAGGTGAATGACATCTTTGGGTATCAACAGGTGACTTTGTCTCCTCTTTTTGTTTAATCCATTCAAGGGAAAGGCTGCTGCTCTTTCTCCAGAGGGGAAACTATTGCTGAAATTCAGATTTTGTTCTCGTTTCAGTAGTCACACGGCTCAAGCTATAGTCTGGTGTTCAGTCGGTTGGAACACAGGAACACAAGTCCCTACAAGTTGGGTTTAAAAAACATGGAGCATGGAGCAGCTCAGACTTTATGTGTCAGTCCAGTTCAGCAGATTCTTTCAAAATTTGTATCTATGCTTTACAATAAGCCTACCTCATAAATTAAGATTAAACCATTCCCGAACGTAACTTGATGATATGAAATGCAATGAAAAATGCATATGTTCAGCACTGTGCTTTATGTAGAATGGGGAAAAAATGGTAAGAGCACAAGTGTGGAGAACTTGCATACCACTGCCAAACAGGTGCTGCTAAGACAACAGGACGTTACAGTTTTCTAATTATATGTATTTTTTGTGAACATTTGTTGTTGTTTTTAAAAACCACTACACGAAGTGTGGCACTGGTTTCCAGACCACCTCCTTTTTTGTCTCTTTTCCTTCTTCACCTCCCTTCCCTCTCTACTTTTCTCCAGATTAATCTTCTCTTTGTCTCTTCCTTGCCCATGAAATGCCATATGCTTTCCGCCCACATTCTGTCTATCTGATCATGTAGCATCTGCCGAGACAACAAGTCACTGTCATCTATCAAGTACCTGCCCTTCTGTCACTTCCCATCTCTAACAGACACACTTGCTTTCCTTGTCTTGCTCTTGTCCCATGCCCTGTGCCTCATCCTCTTTTCTTTTTTTTACCTCTCTCTGACCTCCGTGCACGCTGCCTCTTTTCTGACGCTGTCATCACTATTTCATTCATTTCTCCTTCCTCTTGTTACACAAACTTTCTTTTTAGGTCTTTGTCTTGTGCCATTTCCTTTTATCCCTCTCACTTGCTCTTTTCACCTTTATCTTTATCTTTTTGGCATTTGTCTTTCTCTTTGTGTGTGTGTGTTTGTGGGTGGGTGGGGGTGCACAACAACTAGTTTAAACCAGAAGCTATTAACATGGTGCAAAGAAGTATGAAGAGATTGGACTGCAAAGAAGTATTAATTATCAGGAGAAGATAAGGCAAAACAAAAACACAGAGCCTGATTTCTATCAAAATTATCCAGCTATAGAAACATGATGGAGTGTGGCCTGCATGCTCAGAAGCCCTGATAAGACTCAGTTAGAGGGGATTATTGTGACACCAATGTTCATTTAATCAACTTCAGTGCACTTACTGTGAGTGGCTGTGAACGCTCGCATCAGCAAAACGCTTTCGATGTAAAATGTAAATGAATCTTGTCACTAAGAGCTCTGGCTGTCTCGCGTTCGCGCTGTTTTGCAGTATAGAAATTTGTTTAAGTAAAAACTTTTGAGGCAACTGTAATAAAGGAATCTGGTAATTCAGATAGAGTACATACACACATACACACACATCTGGTGCTGCAGAGAGGAATACATTAGAATAACTTACACACTCTGCCCTCTGTTTAGAGCAGCCTTTGTCTCCAGAATAACATCAAAGGACTATTTATACTTCACTGCCTTCCCTTTGTGTTGTCAGGCACAGACAAGGCAGCAGAGATGTTTGCATGTGAGTGTGTGGTGGCTGAATTACAGGACTGGTAGTGTAACCTTTTGCCTTTGTGGGTAGTGTCATGCACTTTGAATTTGTATGAGAGTGCTGTGTATGTGTTTCTCACCATCGCCGATAATTGCTAGGATAGCCAGGTCCACCTGTCGTTTCCAGTAGGAACCTTTTTGTAGAGCAATCCCATACCCGGTGGTAGCAAAGATGTACCTGAAATACACATGCACACATACACAAATATAGCGTATAGCGTAACTCTAATTACAAATGTCTTCAATAACATGCAACCCCCTCATTTTGCTAGTAAAATGGGAAATGGGTGAAGCAATTATTGAAACAGGGCAAAAAAGAGTTTGTACAATTCTAATAATCTTCAAAGTCAACATTTGGTACGACCACCTTTATTCTTCAACACAGCCTGACCTCTCTTAGGCAACTTTCTTGCTATTTCTTTAAGTAGTCTTCAGGAATAGTTCTTCAGGCTTCTTGAAGGTCAAAGTTCCTCTTTGGATGTTGACTTCCTTTTCTTCTGTTCTCTGTCAGCATGATCCCACATTATGTTCCACTGTTTTCTCCTCCCCGTCTGCTTTACTGCATCGGTAGTGTCTTTGGGATCATTATCACGTGGCATAACATGGAAAGTGAGGTCATACTTTCCAACAAGATCAACAAAATTTTGCACTCCCCTCTAAAGACAATTTTGCCAATTATTTGTGTACATGTTTAATTGTGACACCACTCTATTAAGCTACAAAGAAAGTTTTCTAAATTAAGAGACAGCGGATAGAGTCAGCCACTACCGCTAATGTTTAGCTTAAGCTAATATGAGGCTTCAGTTCAGTAAGTAACATGCTTTTAATGAGTAATAATTTTTTCAATGATTACTCATTGAAGGATTACTCTACAAATAACTAAATTATAGCGATAGTTACCCGCTACCAATGGTCACCAGCTTACATCCCTCATCTCTACCGGCCATGTAGTTCAGCACTGCAGCGTCATAGATGAAGGCATCCAGCTTGCTGCGGGGCGAGAGAGAGAAAACAAAACAAAACAAAAACAAAAAAACAGGCAAAAAACAGACAAATAAAGGGAAATGGTAAGACGTTTTGTCTTTTTTTAAAGCGAGTCAGTGAGAAGTGAAGAGATGAAAAAGAAAACAGAAGATGGCCTTTTTTGGGGATTTTTTAAGAACGTGTTGCTTGCAGATCAATTTTAAAGCGTTAAATCATCTCCAATAGGACTGCAACCCAAGCATAACCAAACACACAGAGGACACAGTGGGGAGTGGTGGCGGTTCAATACACCACGCTTCACTGATGATAGGACCTTGGAGGCGCCTGGATGACCTAAACAAACTTTAGACAGACTCAAACATTTACACTGTCTCGCTTTTCACACTCGCACACACAAGGACTCATAAATAAGTGGGCTGCAAAGTGGAAAGTTGAAGCTCCCGCACTTCAACTGACATTTTCAATGTAACGGATGCCGTTAGTATCCACTGCTCTGTTACCATCTCATTGCCTGTAAATGCTCACACACACACACACACATACACA